TGCAAAATAAAATGGAAGAAAAATGTTTTATACAAAAAAAAAAAAAAAAACAAAAAAAAAAAAAAAAAAGGCCAGGTGTGGTGACCCATTTATAATCCCAGTACTCAGGGGACTGAGGCAATCAAATTGTGAGGACAAGGAGAGTCAAAATCAGCCAGGGCTATATTCTAAGAAACTGTCTCAAAAAAACATTAAAAAAAAAAAAAAAAAAAAAAAGGCCCCATCTAGGAGTCTGTTAGGAATACAAATTCTTGTCTGTGTGATGGCACATGCTTGAGGCTAAGGCAAGCCTTGGTTATTTAAAAAAAAAAAAAAAAAAAAAAACAGTTCAGTGGCTACTCTTGCATAGGACCCTAATTCAGGTCACAGCTCCCACAGTGGGCAACTCACAACACCTACAACTCCAACTCCAGATCTGCCACCCTCTTCTGGCCTTCACAGCATGCACACACACGTTATACATTCACACAGACACACAAATACACATAAAACATTAACCTTTTCTCTCCCTCAAAAACAGAGAGGACATGGTGGTGTATGCCTTAGGAGGCAGAGGCAGGTGGATCTTTGTGAGTTTGAGGCCAGCCTGAACTACACAGTGAGTTCCAGGATAATGAAAGCCACATAGAGAGACCCTGTCTCAAAAACAAATTTTTTTTTTTTTTTTTTTTTTTTTTTTTTTTTTCCCAACAGCCAAGACTTTCAACCATAAAAACAAAACAAAACAAAAACCCTCTAATTAGCTTTGGATCACTAAAATGAACTAAATACCTGCAACAGGCTATTTATGAAGAGAAATTTAGCTCAATGTTAGAGCTGGATCACATTAAGAGTTTTCTATTTCCCAGAGGCATCATGCCAACCAAAGCTCTAGAAGAGCTTCTATCACCAAACAAAAAGTCTGAAACTAGGTCCCACAACCCCTCTTTAGAGCATGTGTCCAATGACCTAAAGATTCCCCATTATATCTTTTTTTTTTTTTATGGTTCATTCACGTTTATTTTATGTGCATTGGTGTTTGCCTACATGTTTGTGTGTGTCTGTCAAGTCCCTTAGAACTGGAGTTACAGACAGGTGTGAGCTGCCATGTAAGTGCTGGGAATTGAACCTGGGTACTTTGGAAGAACAGCTAGTACTCCTAACTGCTGAGCTATCTCTCCAGCCCCATGTCTCATCTCTTAAAGTTAGAAGTTCTCATCACAAGAACTGTAGGGGGGCACAAGCCACAGCCAAACCACAGCTTACTTTAATTCAAAAACCATGTTGTTAACAACCTCAAAGACCAACATTTTAAGAACACGGAGATCTGGTTAGTTTAAGGGACCTGAGACTGATTTTTTTTTTTTTACCTTAGTTATCTTATAGTGAAATTTATAAATGTATTCACAATGCATCCATTCAAAATGCATTCTTGCTTTACAAAAAGGGTGGTTTATCCTCATCACAGAAAAGCTCATTACAAGTGTTACTTTCCTGTGTTAATTCCAGTGCAAGGGATGCTATTCTTGTACCTTCACTTCCCAAGGAAATCAGCATCCAGGTTCTACTCATCTGATTTGACCTAAACAAAAATTTAACACATGCACACACATACACATCCCACACGTGCTTTGAACTCCTATAATATGATCAACATCCATTTGAAGCATTTAATACAAAACCAAGCAGTCATTTGGATCAGTGTGTTTGTAGTGTTGGGCCTCTCACTGGGAAGCTGAAAGATGTCCTTGAATGAGATCCTGAACACGGGACAGAATGATCTCATTAGAGCTGCTGCAATTTTCTGGAGCATATGGTGGGTCAATAGTCAGAACCCCAGCCACACACAGAGTCCTTTGTGCATCTCCCTGTTCGGTGACAGGGATGTGGTTCTTCTCAAGCCATTTCTTTAGGCTATTCTTTCTCTTTTCCAGATCCTCGGGGCTGTATCCTTTACAATCTCCAGATGTGAACAAATGCATCAGCTTCTCCCTTACTCTGTGGTCCCCTTCACTCAAAGTTTCCACAGTCTGCACACAATGTCCCATAATTCCAGTCACAGACAAGCTGCCATCTTCGAGGAAGTTCACCAGGACAATACTTGAAAGAAAAAGTAAAGTTCAGAGCAGATTTGAAAAGAACTAGGAAGAAGCAATGGAATGGGGGCATCATCAACCCAACAGGTCACCTGAACAAGAGGGAAGGAACAACTCTCCCCAGTGAAGATTAACCATTTCACCACCAAACGCTTGTACTTATTCCTCAAGCATTCACTGAGATCCTAAACATCTGAACACTTTGCCTAGCTAATCATCACAGGACATAGCTAATGCAGTACCTAGAGAGTGAGTGGGTTAGAGTTACGGTTGCAGTATGTAGTTCAACGGCAGGGTGCATGCTTAGCATTTACATGGTACTGGATTTGCTCTCCAGTTCCAAACAAAATTTTGATTTTTTTTTTTTTTTTTGAGGGGATGCTGACAGGGTTTTTCTGTATCCCTGGCTGTCCTGGAACTTGATTTGTAGACCAGGATGGCCTTGATTTGTAGACCAGGGATCCACCTGCCTCTGCCTCCCAAGTGCATGCACCACCAGGACTCAGGGGGGGGGAAAAAAGAGTTATAGATGTCTTAAATATGTGTAAGACAGGGGTGTACATTTAATTGTAGAATTAAAAAAAATAAACTTCAAGCTGAACACACCAAAGTAGACCAGAGAAAACAAAGCATAAATTGAAGATAAACTGAAGGAATTAAAACAAAATTTAAAAATTAAAACTAAAGTCAGAAGATCATCAAACCCAAAAGTAGAAAGTGGGTCAGAACTGAGTGATAGAGTACACACATCTGTCATGTATGAGACCCTAGGTTCAATTCCCAGCAAAACACACACACACACACATACACCATCAGGAAAGAGACACAATACTAAGACAGGAATAAGGCAGCACTGCTTAACATACTATTAACAAGTTTATGACAATAATCCTGAAACTCGGGGCAGACCTTAGTGGCAAAGCCCTATAACCCCAGCTATTCTTAAGGCTGAAGCAGGGGAATCACAAACTGAAGGTCTGCCTGGGCAACTTGGTGAGACCCTACCTTTTTGGTTTTCTTTCTTTTCTTCTTTTGAGAAAGGGTCTCACTCTAGCTCTGCCTGGCTTGGAACTCGATATGTAGCACAGGATAGTTTCAAAGAAGGCGTGGCTGTCACTCCTGCTTGTATCACTTATATTTAGGAATTAGGTCTTTTGTCTTAAACGCTGACTTTTTATTTTTATTTGAGGATGTCTTCTGAATAATGGAGGTTAGGAAGACATTACCGAGTATCCATACTCTCTTCACTAAGCTTCCCTGAGTTAAGAGTTAATGTTTACCCTCAGCTAGTTTGCTATAGTTAAAACAGCACTTAGGCTCAAAGCAATTCTTATGTGTGAATAACCAGCCTTCTTGTCTTGGATATCCAGGAAGGACACAGAGTTGTTGCTTCCAGAAAGTAAAATGCATACTCACTTGGCAGAGACTGGGTCTGTAGTTAACAGCCATCCTTGATACTCCTTCTTCTCACTGGCTATCACTCTGACTTCTTTATAAACGTAGTCTTCCCATTCTAAGGGGCTTTTCTTCATCCATTCACTCATGGTTACCAGCTGGCTAGATCTAAAACTGTTACCAGTTTGGGTTAATCACTATGCATATTCCACACAAGCAAATGTCTTAACCCCTAATCTCCCTTCTGAAGGCTGCAATTTGTCTCAAATTTTCAACAAGTTTCTTTTTCTTTCCTTATTTTTGTGTCTTTTTCTTTTGAGACAGGGTTTCTCTGCGTAGCCCTGGTTAACAAGTTTCTTAATACAAGTAAGCAGTAATACATGGGGCAAGCTGGCTTTGGTAGCTCACACCTACAGGCCTACCTACTAGTAACACTGAGACCAAAAGCTTGAGACTAGCCTGGTTAACACAATGTGCGTCTCCAGCCTCAAAAGGAGTAACAAAAAAGCCCATTCTTAGAATAAGAAATTGATGCTGTGATTGGAGAATTCTTAAGAATGTTTTGGGTTTTACCATATTCGGAAAAAGTTATTTACAATCGAACCTTAGCTACGGTAATACCAAATGGCCTCGGGGGGATTCTGAAACTCCCTTGGCATGTCCATTCCACCCTTTTCTCCCAATTCCAGATACGGCTCTCATTCTGGCTTTGAAGTCGGACCCACAGATGACGATACTCAAACCCTCAGCTTCGCTTTCCTTAGATAAAGGATTTCCCCCTACACGCCGTATAGGCATAACCGATGCGGAGTTCTCGCTCTCCCTCCTACTCTCTCTAGACGAGATTCTTCGCGGGGTTTGCGCCAAATGCTTATTTCCACCAACCCACAACAACGCCGCAGAAACACACCGCTACAACCCAACTTGGCTCGCACGCGACCAACCTGCCTTGAGGCGGCCCGCCTGAGACCAGCATGCTTTGCTCCTGACGTCACTTCCTTCCCCCAGAACCCTCCGCTCTGTAGTCTTTTGCCTCCGACCTTTGCTGCGGGGCGGAGTCATCGGAGCTGCAGCGTGGGTGCTGAGCAACCAGAGTTCTCACTGCCACCGTGAATTGTTCAAGTTATTTCCCCCCTCCCTTTTATTAATTTAAATTAGAAACAAGCTTCCCTTCCCCCCTCCCCTCACCACCCCCTCATCCCATCCTCTTTCTGCTCCCCTGGGAGGGTGAGGCCTTCCATGGGGGGGGGGTCTTCAAAGTCTGTCATATCATTTGGTCAAGTTATCTTTATAAGAGAAAAATATTCGTACAGTGGTCTCAGAGCAAATAGGCATGAAAATACGCTTTTGCCAAGGATTCAACACAAAGCCCTCTGGGGAAATCTTAACGTCTAGAAGCTGAAGTGCATGGCGCCGACTCTCCTTTGGCTCGTTTGGGGCGGTTACAATGCGTGAGCCTTTATTAGGACGTGCTCGCTCGCGGTTGAGTTTTCGAGGGGGTGGGAAGCTGGAGAGACTGAATGCTGTCACTCATTATAAGCCTCTCTGGTGGAAAAGGGTACAGCCCTTGCTTCTGCTTCAGATTTCTGGGCACGTAAATCTGTTCATTGGACTTTGATGTACTGCAGACTCTTCGACACTGTGATACTGAAAAGTGGTGCTGGGATCTTGCTGATACGGAAAAAACCAAGTGTGACTTAAAAAAAAAAAAAAAACAAAACTCGAAGATTATCAAGCCACGGAGCAGAAACATTACAAACGAGTCAGCTTTTATTACTGTTTGGAATTCCATATCAAATAATCCTTCTCATAACCTTCACTGATTGAATGAATGGCTGCTTATATTAATGTGGCTTTCATGGACTAAGTTAGATTATTGCCAGTTAAAACCTTCTGTAAATCTACAAAGAGCTAATGTAAATTCCAAGTTATTAGAGTGTGGGAGGAAATGTTTGACCTTTTAAAAACGCAGAATAAAAGAGCTACAACTGCTTTGAGACAACTGTTCACTTGAATTTTAAACTTCATTCTTTACTGCAAAATAAAAGGTTTGACCTCTGTTTTCTTTTGAGACCTATTTTTGTTCTTTTGAGACAAGGTCACTCCCCTACCATTTCCAAACTATCAGAAATTTAAGTTACATTTGGGCTACACATGGCGCACAGGCCTTTAATCCCAGCATTTGGGAAGCAGAGCTAGGGAAATCTTTGAGAGTTCAAGACCAATTAGCCTACATAGGGAGTTCAAGCCAGTCCTGTCGCGCGCGCGCGCACACACACACACACACACACACACACACAAAATCCAGTTGTAAGTGTTGTGTAGCAACTATAAAATGTTTTATCTTTTCTGTCCTATTAATACCAGCCAATAGTGTGTCTCTGTAGGGGAGGACCCCCACCCCCACCCCAATCAGTATAAGACACCAAGACACCAAATTCTCAACACAAAGGAAATTTATTATCCCAGAGGGGGAAGGAGGTGGGGAGGCTGCAAAGACAACAGTAGGAGCAAAAAACAACCAGCAAGCAGGTGTTTCTGCAGGAGTGGGTATTCAAAGGGAAGGGAACAGGGAGTCTGTGCTAGGTTGGATGTATTAGCCAAATAATGAATTTTCATTGCTAGACCTCGATGTTTTGTCTCTGGAATGAGTTAGTGAACAAATGAGGGAATGGACTTTGGAGGCTAGCTTTATGACTAACGGTTTTTAGCAAGGGGGAAAAGGGTAAAAGGCAAAATTTGTTGTGGGACTTGTTTGCCATGGTAGAGCTCTGCAGTCTCTTTATATATATATGCTTAGTCATCAAGAATATGTTGATGAGGTGCTAGGAATGGCCGCATTGATAAAGCGTTTGCATAAAAATAAGCCCAACATGAGTGTAATCCCTGGACTGGGAAGTAGAAAAAGAAGGATCCCTGGGGCTCAGTAGTCTAATTGTCAAATTCTGGGCCAATGAGATCAAAAGAGAGAGGTGGATTTCCTGAGGATAACACCTAATGTTGCCTGAAGCAGACACAGCACACACACACATACACACAAGACAAGACCGACATGGAGGAAAAAAAAAAAAAACAGAAAACAAATTTAGAAAAAGAATCTATTAGGAGGCTAGAGAAATGGCTCAGTGGTTAGGAGCACTGGCTGTTCAGGATTCAATCCCTAGCACCCACATAGTGGCTCACAATTGTCTGCAACTCCCAGGAACTGACATTCTTCTGGCCACCTGGGCACCAGGCACCTATGTGGTGCCCAGATATACATGCAAGCAAATTACCCAGATGCATAAAATAATTTTTATTTCTAAAGAGGATACGGTGGACTGGGGTGATGGCATGAGAACCTGACTTCATACCCCAGAAACCAGATGAGCTCCTATAGTCTGGTGAGATTGCTCTTAGTTAAAGGAATTTGCCACACTATTCCTGATGACTCAAGTTTAATCTCTGGGACATTTGTGAAAAGAAAGAACTAATTCCTACAAGTTCTGTGACTTCCAGAAGTACACACTCAAGCGCTCGCGCACACGCACACGCACATGCACACGCACAGACACAGGAAAGTGTTTTAGGTTGGGTGTGGTGGTGCACACCTTTAACCCCACCAGTAGGGAGGCAGAGGCCAACTGGGTCTGCATAGTGAATTCCAGACCAGCCAAGGCTACATCGTGAGACCCTGTCTCAAAAACCAAAAACAAACAAAACCAAGGTAGAAGGTTGTGAGATGGGTCAGTGTGTAAAGTCTTGCACAAGCTGAGGTCCTGATTTTGGACCCTCTACACCCACATACAGGCCTGGTATAGCCGTGTGCTTCAGTAACCTCAGGGCTTGGGGGCCTTGACTGGCAGACTGCAGGCCGGATAGCCAAAGCAGCAAGTTCCTAGTTTTGTAAGTTCTGTCTCAAAAAAATACAGTGAAAGAAGGGTGTAGTGGCGCACGCCTCTAGTCCCAGCACTAGAGAGGCAGAGGCAGATGGATTTCTGTGAGTTCAAAGCCAGCCTGGTCTACATTATTGAGTTCCAGGATAGCAAAGCTACATGGTGAGACCCTATCTCAAATAATAATAAATGTAAAGAAGTGATTGATGACAACATTTTTAATGGCAACCTCTGTCTGGTATGTGTGCCTGCCTGGCCAGCACACATTCAAACCTGCATATAACACACACACAGGCAGAGGAGTGCCTGAGGAAGATCACTCACATTGAGCCCTGCCTCTGCGTGCATACCCACACAGCACACTCACATGCATGTCCTTACACAGTAAACACACAGAAAATACTGCTATAGGGGCTGGTGAGAGGGCTCAGCAGTTAAGAGCACTGGCTGCTCTTCCAGAAGGCTCAGATTCAATTCCCAGCAACCACATGGCAGCTCACACCTGTCTGTAATTCCAGTTCCAGGGGATCTGACATCCTCACACAGACATACCTGCAGACAAAACACCAATGTATATAAAGTAAATAAATATTTTTTAAAAAGAAAACATTGCTTTAGTTTTGTTGTTGTGTTTTCTGCTAAAAAACAGAATTCTTTTTTGAGGTGGGGTCTCATTTAGCCCAGTTTGGCCTTTAACTTGTACAAATTGAGGCTGGCCTTGGACTCTTGATCCTCTAGCTTCCGTTCCCCAAGTACTGGGATTACAAGTATCCATTACCATGCATGGTTAAAAACTGCAATTTTTTCTTCTTTTGTCTAGCAACCCTCTAGCTTCAGTCCCTTGAAATGGGTATTGCATGTTCATATCTTTTTTTAACTTTTTTTTTTTTTTTTTCGAGACAGGTTTCTCTGTGGTTTTGGAGGCTGTCCCGGCACCCCCCCTGGAGACCAGGCTGGCCTTGAACTCACAGAGATCCACCTTCCTCTGCCTCCCGAGTGCTGGGATTAAAGGCATGCACCACCAACGACACCCAGCTTTTTTTAACAATTTATTTTAAGTTTTTGTACATTGGTGTTTTTCCTGCAGGTATGTCTGTGTGAGGGTGCCAGATACCTTGGAACAGGAGTTACAGAGAGGTGAGAGCTGCCACGTGGCTGCTGGGCCTTGACCACAGGTCCTTTGGAAGAGCAGCCAGTGCTCGTAACTGCTAAACCATCTCTCCAACTCTGTTTCTTTTTAATGCATGAATAAGTGGGGTTGAAGATAATCATTTATTTTTGACTGTGGAATGCTATGATTAAACCAATGAAATGAGCAGAGTGGTGTTGGCACACACCTTTAATCCCAGTCAGCAGTAGGGAGGCAGAGACAAGGGAATCTCTTGAGTCTGAGACCAGCTTGGTCTGCACAGTGAGTTCCAGGACAGCCAGGCTACACAGAGAAACCCTGTCTCAGAAACATAAATAAATAAATAAATAAATAAATAAATAAATAAATAAAAAAGAATGTGTACTACTTTTCCAAAAGGACTGGAGTTGGGTTCCCAGGACCCATGTTAGGCAGCTCACAACTGCCTGTAACTCTTCTCTCTGGCCTGCATCTCCTCACTCATACACTAATTAAAAATAAAATAAATCTAAAAAAAACCCAAGCATTTCTAAATATGAAATAACTTGACTCCTCTTTGTGCTCCATTTACTTCTTTGGACATAATGTCCATTACGCATTAAGATAATTTATTTTAGCCAGGCAGTGGTGGTGTACACCTTTAATCCCAGCACTGGGGAGGCAGAGACTGTGAGTTCAAGGCCAGCCTGGTCTACAGAACAAGTTCCAGGACAGCTAGGGCTGTTACACAGAGAAACCTTGTCTCAAAAAAACAACAGCAAAATGTGTTTTAGCAATCCAAATTTAGGAAACTAAAAATATACATATTTATTTTTGGTGGGTGCTAGGATCACTCAGGGCCTTCCTTGCCCTGAGTTAGGTAAGTACTTTTGTGACCAAACAGCATTCCCAGGATCGACTTCATGTTTGTTTTGTTTCATTTATTCAGGATCTCTGTGTAGCCCAGGCTTGTTTAGAACATGAATCTTCCTGCCTCAGCCTGTGCTCACGAGCTAAGCCTATAAGCCTGGATCACCTTGTCAGGCTCTTTCCCAACATTTGCTTCAAGGAGTAACTGTAGGAATTGAGGATGTACTCAGCCCAATTACCTCTCTGGAAACTGCAGACTAGTTTTTATCCCTAAGGCAGGTAAAACAAGATCTATAACTACTACTTGCTCTCAGATTGGCCTATCAAATGAATTAATGATGTTGAAAAGCTGGCTGCTCTTAAATAGAAATTACACCTTAGAATAGAAATTATACCTCAGAGAGGACAATGAAAGCAAGGGTTTGTCAGCCACTAATTGTACCTCAAAATGCCCTCACCTTTTCTTCACTTAAAAATGTTTATTCATTTTTAATTTTTTTCAGTTTTATGTGGTGTGCCCATGTTTGCTTGTACCGTGTGTGTGTGTGAACAAATGTGTGGGTGTGTATGTAAGTGCCTATGCACGTGGTGGCCCTGATTGCTTTCCATTTTACTGAGGCAGCTGAACCTAGAGCTCCCAGAAGCTGGCTCATCTAAAGAGCCAGCTTGTTCCTGGGGCCCCACCTCCTCCCACCTTTTATAGGTGGGCTTGCCACACACACCCAGAAGAATTTACCTAGGTTCTGGGGAGCCAAACTCTGGCCTTCGTGCTGATGTGGCAAATGCTTTATTTGCTAAGCCATGTCCCCAGTCCTTTTTTTTTTTTTTTAACCCATCATCCTCTTTTTTAACATCCTCTTGATCTCCTCCAATTATCATCATAGGGTTTATATATGGGTGGAGACTTCTTTCTTCACTACCCAATGGCAAATTATAAATTCATATTAGAACTTCATAGTATTCCTAATGTAAAAGTGTAAAAGATAGTCCTTATCACACAGGGAGAAATCATCTTAGATATAAAAGCCAATGAAAGTGACTGTTTCTAAGGGAAAACCTTCCAGAGTTCATACCACTTTGTGTGCTGTTATTTTTGAAACAGGAAGATGTGGAGGTCATTTCTTTACCAGTTAAGCATTCACTATGTTCTGTTCAGGACATATTCATTATCTGGTGGGAGGCTAAGCCTTAGGAGGTTTTAAAACTGTTAATGGAATCAACTCATGAATATTTTTGCTATGTACAGCATTTGCCTTTTCTTTTCCAAGAATGTGCATCACTCCGGTTTTCAGTCTAAGCATTGCGTTTTATGGGTAAGGAGAGGGAGAGGGGGCAAAGAAAGGGCGTATTCCTTTCTTATTGACTTATCAGACTCCTATCAGCCACCTCTTGGGTTTTTGTTTTTCACAGGAATTACTTTTCTACCCACTAATTACCTGACCGACTGTGGATATCCCGCTCACACTAAACAGAAGCACACTGGGTTAGAAATCACTTTTCTAATTTAGCTATTTGTTCAAGGGCAATGTGAGCCCTAAACTGTAGCCGGGCTTCCATGGAATAGTTTTTATAGTTCTTTATGTTGTCTAGGTTTTTTGTTGCACTGGCATAATCTCCCTTCAGATAATGCAGCATTCCCAGTTCATAGTAACTATACGGCACCAAATAGCGGTCATATTTTAACATTTTCTCCTTCTTGATAACACGAATAAAGTAATGCTCAGCCTTCAAATGTTTGCCCAAGTGTTTCAGGCAGAGGCCTTTCAGCAAATTTAACAAGCTCATGTCATCCGTGCCATACTCCTCGTTCGGGTTTTCATTCAAAAGGTCTTTCCCTTTGTCAATTATCGACAGCCAGCTTGAAATGAGCTCTATTTTCTTGCTCATGACTCGGAAGCCACTCCAGGCATAAATGAATTCCAGAAGGGGCTGTGCTGTAAACCAGCCTGTTGTAGTACCATAGCGCTGGCTTTTCTCAGCAATAAACTTCTCTATTGGCACAGAAGATCCTAAAAATTTAATTCTCAGGTTGTCCACCTGTAAGAAGATAGAACTCATGCTCTCATTTTCTGAGTTCACAAAATTAGGAGGAAGCAAGGCCATTATTATAGCTTTGCTGTAGGTATATATTGCCTTAGACCACCTGCTATGTTGAGACAGTAGATTGGCATAGTTGAATGCCTGCCTCCAATTCTGCAGAAAAATATGGCACCACATGAGTTCCCAGTAACAGAGGTGATGAACCTGCTTCCATTCATTTTGCGTAATAATGCACTCTTGTAACTTTAACTGTGCGGTTTCAAAATTTCCATTCAGCATGCTGAAACGTGCACGAAAAAATTTAAGTACAACACAGTTGGGGAACTTCTCCAGGTAGATTAGGAAGAGACTTTCTGTAGCAGACGTGGAAACCTTTTCAACACCAACAGCCACACGCACATAATTGTAATAAAAGAGAAGAGTGAAAACACTTAAGATGTTATTTATATGAGGCTCAGACGCACTTTCGTGAAGTAAAGCCAGGCCTACTTCCCTGTCACCAGAATAGCCAACAATATTGAGAAGTTTAAGTGACTTTGGTGGCACAAGTGAGAACATCAGATTGAATACTCCAAGTCCAAACTTTACCCCTCCATCCAGGTGTCTGTGGGTTTTACTTTGGTTATCAGGCATAAGTTCTAAGACCTGTTGGCAGTCTTTGTATATTTGATAGCTTGACCCAACATTGATGCCACTTTTAAGGAAATTCAGCAAACTGTCATCTTGTATGAATGTTATGGCAGACTTCAAGATCAGACACTCAGCATAACACACTTCGGCATGTAATTCCTCCTCTTTGATCGACCTTATTCCCTGCCTACTCACTAGGCGAGATAAAGTCATTATCCTGGGTCTTTTCCGAAAATTGTTGCAGGTTTTCAAAGCTTCCTTTGCAGCATTCATTCCAATCTGAATATCCTGTGGCTCAAAAGTCAGAATGGCCTTGACAATCATAAGCATACTGTATATTAGGGCGTGGTATGGGCTGTTATTTGACCATGGGTGGATAAGACTGATTGCATCGGAGAATCTGTTATTTAGAAACAAATACAATCCAGTTGTGCATTCTTCCAAGGATGATAAGAGATTCATTGTTGTTGCCACAGGGATAATTTCATGGGCATCCTCAAACTTTTCCTCTGGTTCACTTTCTCTTAGACTGAGTGACCTAGTTACTCTGGCCATTCTATCACTTTCCCCTTCACTTAGACTAACGGACATAGTTAGCATGTTGTCCTCATTATCCTCATTTCTTAGGAACCGTGACATATTTGCTTCCTCGATTAGAGGCAGGAATATCTGAAGTAGACTTGCAATGAGGGTAGCTGCTGCACTCCTGACCAGGGGCTCTTCTTCCACACAAAGCTCAGTCTCAAGTGTTGCTGTTAAAATGGAGGCAAATGCAAAACTAGCTGTGAGATGCAGCATTAGGGTATTCTCTATGATCTACGTCAGACAAGGAGAGGATCGCTGTGAGATGCAGCATTAGGGTGTTCTCTATGATCTATGTCAGACAAGGAGAGGATCGCTGTGAGATGCAGCTTTAGGGTGTTCTCTATGATCTACCTCAGACAAGGAGAGGATCGCTGTGAGATGCAGCATTAGGGTGTTCTCTATGATCTACGTCAGACAAGGAGAGGATCGCTTTAGGGAACCAGAAGATGCATTTCTGAAAAGTTCATCTAGAATGTACTAAAGAAAACTAAACACTAAAAAGTAAACCCTTTGCAGCTGGGCAGTGGTGGTGCAGGCCTTTAATTCCAGCACTTGGGAGGCAGGGGCAGGCAGATCTAGAAGTTCGAGGCCAGCCTGGTCTACAAATGAGTTCCAGGACAGCCAGAAATGTTACACAGAGAGATCCTGACTCTAAAAAACAAAACAAAACAAAACAAAGAAAACCCTTGGAAAGCAGCAGAATTCTTCTGTCCCCAGTTAGCCACTGTACAAATTCCATAAACTCTTACTGCTGTGTATTCTGGTGTAGAACTCTACTGTGATGAACACAAAATCTCTCGATCCTATCCTACAAGAATCTGGTTAGAAAGGATAACTAAATATTACTCTAGTTAGGACTAAGGAAGTTAGGTATTGTCCAGTCCAAGGGACAAAGATTATGGGAACGAAAAATCCCCTACACTATTCTTAATATTGTATTATATTGTCACTGATACTGTTTGTTTGTTTGTGAGGGGTGTTGAGACAGGGTCTCTCTACTCACTCATTAGACCAGGCTGGCCTGAACTCACAGAAATCTGTCTCTGCCTCCCTAGTGCTGGGATTAAAGGAGTGGGCTCCCATGCCCAGCAAAGAAATGCAGCTTTTAATAAGAAGGGGAAAAGGAAAAAAATGTCACATTTTTTTTTAAATGTTGAGGAATACCATTTCAGAGGTGTTATTTATTTTATTTTATTTTGGTTTTTCGAGACAGGGTTTCTCTGTGTAGCTTTGGAGCCTATCCTGGCACTGCTCTGGAGACCAGGTTGGCCTCGAACTCACAGAGATCCGCCTGCCTCTGCCTCCCGAGTGCTGGGATTAAAGACGTGCGCCACCAACGCCCGGCCAGAGGTATTAGAGAAATGCTTGTTTTTACAACTTATGTTTCAAAGGTTTCAGTAACATTTGAAAAGGAAAGTTAGTCATACACATCCCTGGAAAACTGGCTGTTCATGGGAAAGTCATTTGGTGCATTGAGAAAGAACTTAACCTTGGGGTGATGACAGGAGTAGGTAGTGTTGAAAATGCAGTGCAGTGGTAGAGAGAGTTCTTGCCTGACATTCATGAGGCCCTGTGTTCTATCCCCAACGCTGCAGAAGCAAAAAATGCAACTAACAATAAAACTAAGGATAGTGGCTCTATCAAGGTCACCCAGAGGCACCGAGGTGACAGCCAGATTCAGCCTAAGGACAAAGTTGCCTTCATTGTGGCCTTAACAAAACTACTTTCAAATGATATGCCATAGAAGCTCATTCTCCACAGCTCAACTTTTGCTTGTTCTGAACCTTTACCGATTATTAGCATAACCACACACAACATTGTTTATTTGTGGACAAGTACCTCTCTCACTGTGTTATTAAAATTATTCCTATATATGCTCTTATATCCCACCTCAGAACTTCAAGGCATGATCTGTTTTATTCAGCTTTATATCTCTATTCCAGCATATTCCTACAAACTAGGCATTCATAAATGTTTGTTAACGTAAACTAAGATGTCCAGGAAATAGTTCTAGGTTTTTGTTGTTATTGTGGCTGTGTGTGTGTGTGTGTTTCTTTTTTTCTTTTTTTCTTTTTTTCTTTTTCTTTTTTGGTTTTTCGAGACAGGGTTTCTCTGTGTAGCTTTGGAGCCTATCCTGGCACTGCTCTGGAGATCAGGCTGGCCTCGAACTCACAGAGATCCGCGTGCGCCACCAACACCCGGCATGTGTGTGTGTTTTATGCAAGGGCATATACATGTTTGCATGTGTGTGAATGCACATGTATGCATAGGTGCACCTGTTACATGTATGTGGAGGTCCAAGGCCCAATTTTGACATTGGGTGTCTTCCTCAGTTGCTTTCTACTTTAACTGTTGAGGCAGAGTCTCTAACTGGATTCAGAGTGCCCTGATTCTGGGTAATATAGTTAGCCAGCTTGCCCCAGGGATCCCATCTCTGCATCCAGCCCCTGGGATTATAGGTAGCCAGGACTACTGCCATGCTTTAGTGTGAGTCCTGGGATCAGAACTCCAGCCCTTTAGGGTTACACAGCAGCACTCCAACCCTTTTTTTGCCTTTTTGGAACAGGGTCTTACAATCTAGCCCTAGCTGACCTGGAATGTGCTGTGTAAATCAGACTGGCCTAGAGCTTCCTATGGTCCTCTTTCCTCTGCCTTCCAAGTGCTGGGTTTATAGGTGTGCATTACCATGCCTATGGGATGGTTTTTTTCTATTTACTTCTTTATGATGTTAGGAATAAAACCTAATGCCTTATGACATTTACTACTGAGCTACCCCAGTCTCTCATAATTTTAAAATGGTTTTGCAGGCTAAGGGGAGACTGAGAATTAAACCTGTAGCCTTACACATTAAGAAAGAGCTCTCTTGCTGGAGCCTTTAATCCCAACACTTGGAAAGCAGAGACAGGTGGATCTCTGTGAGTTCAAGGCCAGCCTGGTCTACAGAGCAGTTCCAGGACAGCCAGGGCTGTTATACAAAGAAACCCTATCCCCAAAAAACAATTTAAAAAACTCTAGCTCTGTAATTAAGACATCAGTCTGATCCAGTCCTGCTCATCAGTATTCTTTCTTCGGAGAAGGAAGACCATGATTGATTTGTTAAGGGCATCAAGATTCCTTACTTTTCCATTTTTTTTAATGTAACAAGATGTTCCTCAAAAAGCCTGACAATTCTCTGGACTGTTTTAAACTCCTAACCATCTTCTGCATTAATTTTCTTCTTCTTAGTTTTACTATCACACTGATACTCACCCTCCCCACCCCCAGTCTTTGTTAGCTGGGGCTGTCCTCAAACCCAGGACTCTTCTAACTCAGCTGGCTCAGTGCTGGGAATACAGGCATGAGCTACCATGCCCTGTGTCTTGGCCAAGTCACTCTGAGCTCATTACTGCTCTCTGCATCTTCATACCGTTTGAAATGTATGCTGTATGCCGCGAAGGAGGAGTTCATTTTTTAAAATTTGAAAGAATTATACGTTCTACAAACTTTTCCTTCCAAGAATTTCCAAAAGCATTCTAGAGGATCAGATGATGGTGATATATAGAAAAAGAATAAAAGGATGTAGCTGAGCATGGATATTTGGAGTAACCTGCAGTTCATATGTACATGTGTATGTAGATAATACGTAAATGCATTCTTATAGATTGTTTTTGTTTGCTTGTTTGGTTTTTAATATTTATTTATTTTATTATGTATACCTGTAGGCCAGGAGAGGGCACCAGATCTCATTATAGATGGCTGTGAGCCACCACCTGGTTGCTGGGAATTGAACTCGGGATCTCAGGAGGAGTAGGAGTAGCCCGGGCTCTTAACTTCTACGCTATCTTTCCAGCCTTTTTGTTTTGTTTTGTTTTGGTTTGGTTTTGGTTTTTTTTTTTTTTTTTTTTTTTTTTGGTTTTTCAAGACAGGGTTTCTCTGTGGCTTTGGAGGCTGTCCTGGAACTAGCTCTTGTAGACCAGGATGGTCTCGAACTCACAGAGGTCCACTTGCCTCTGCCTCCTGAGTGCTGGGATTAAAGGTGTGCACCACCAATGCCTGGTTTATTTGTTTTTTGAGACAGGGTTTCTCTGTGTAGCCTTGACTGCCCAGGAACTATGTAGACCAGCCTGACCTCAGAGATTCGACTGTCTCTGCTTCCTGAGTGCTGGGATTAAAGGTGTAAACCACCTCCCAGCTAGATTATTTATGTTTTTTTAAAAAAAGAAAGATAGCTGTACAAAAGATTTAAATTGCTTGTCTTTTCTTATTTTAGGATGTTCTTCTGCCCTAATGGTGGCAATGATTTTAAAAATGAAACTAAAACAGTGAAGGAAGTAAGATTTCAAAAGGAACTTCCCCTTGCCTCCTGTTTATGCCTTAGGCACTAGGTGCAATCTCCACTACTGTAAGGGGGATAAAAAGAACTTTTTTCTCAGCATACTGGAAGTTGGAATAAATAAACACCATCACCAAAACTGACTGTTTAATTCTTTTCTGGAAATGTTAAATTTAGTATATGAAGATAATTTTGAAAATTGATGCAAATTTTTTTTGAATATTCCAACCCTCCTTTCAATTCAAAGACAGGGTCTTTCTATGCAGATCAGACCGGCCTATACTTTACTATGGAACCCAGGTTGGCTTCTGATTTTCCTGTCTTGGCCTCCTTAATGCTGAGATCAAAGATATGTATCACAATATTCAACTTTAAAGTAACACTGTCAAACAGGGCGGTGGTGGCTCACACCTTTAATCCCAGCACTAGGGAGGCAGAGGCAGGTCTATGTGAGTTCGGGACCAGCCTGGTCTACAAGAGCTAGTTCCAGGCTAGGCTCCAAAGCCACAGAGAAACCCTGTTTCAAAAACCAAAAAAAAAAAAAAAAAAAGTAACATTGTCAAGATTTAACAACCACGATATATAAGAATTACTCCATAGCGTATATTAGCAAATGTTATAATATTTGTTGACTTACGTAGATTTATTTAAATTGAAGCTGGAGGCCAGGGTGTTGGCCACACACCTTTAATCCCAGCACTCAGAAGTCAAAGGCAGGTGGATCTCTGAGTTCCAGGACAGACAGGGCTACTCAGAGACCCCCACCCCCCACCTACCCTCCCATCCCAATACCCCACTCGAAAAACAAACAAACCAAAAAAGTGAAATTTATAAGGTTTATAGAATCACTGTTCCTTTGGAAAGTATAAAAGTCTTTATAATTGTTTAAGGCTTTTCAGGAGAAGCGGATGAAACAAAAGCCAGGGGCTGGGGATGCTCAGGAGACCCTATGGCAGGCAAGCAAGTGAGCACACCAGTAAGACTGAGACAGAACACATATATCATATACTGTATACAGGTTCTATTTTCTCACCATTTTGTTGAGACACCTTGATTTGGAATATTTGAAAACCAACATATCTATAAATTGGTAGCACTTAAGAGAGTCTCATGCTTTTTGACCAGGTAGGTCTCATTTCTCTGTACTCTACACCTGCATCTATACACACCAAATGGAGACCAAAAAGATAAAAATAATTTTATGTGTAAAATTTCCAACTCTTGAGTGTTCCAAGTATTTATGATGTAATGTCTGTATTTTTTTGGTGGTTGATACAAAGAACTGAACTCCAGTTTCAGAGCCGGCTCTATTTTCTGGCCAACACATTATGTAAAATCGAAGGCAGATTTAAGCAATCTGGAGATGAGAGTTTCACTTATTTGACATATATCGAGTGGCTGAGCTGTAACGCTTTAAGTGAAAACTCAGACAACCTTAAAAGCTCTAAAGCACTAGAAGGAAAAAAACAAAAACAAAAACAAACTTTGTGCTTCAGGTGCAAGGAATCTAAGAATTGTCGCGGCTCAGTATGCTTGCAAACTTTTAGTTTTGCCGAAATTTCAACATTGCCAGAACCCCCATCTGTATCCCTTTGTTCAGCAGACTCCCAAGGACTCAGAGCAGACTCGGTGAGTCCCTGGGAGAAGTGCCCCGCTGAGGCACTTCTGAGTGCCTGGGATGCGGTGATCAGGAGCAGAATGGCGGGGCGTTTTCACACTGGTCACTCTAATTACCTCTGATGAGCCTCAAAGATCCCCGGGTGGAAGACTAGGCCAGGTACCCCAAAGCGAAAGGTGGCGACAGCGACATCAGCGGTTAGATTTTACAGGCTTTCACAGAACGGTCTAACGCTCCTGCACTACAGTTACGGTTACTAGACTGTCAGTTCCTAGGTTAAGATGAAGAGGTGGAAGGGTTGGGAGAAGGTAAAGGAGGATCGGTAGGGTTCAGGAAAGGGGAAGGGGAGGGGAGGGAGCAGGAGGCCGCCCGGGAGGCCACAGGTTTATGGGCAAGGTCTCCGCGTTCCCATGGCAACGTATCCCTCCGCCCGCGATTCGATCAGCCTCTTAGGTCCCTCCGCCCCGCCTCTAGGCTGTTTCCGCCCAGCTCCTTTGTGCCGCGCAGAACGTTGACACGACGCATGCGCAAGGGAAAAAAAAAAATCCCCGCCCCCC